TGGAAATCCAGGGCACCACAGAGGAAGTGGGGGCAGGTATAACAGAGCGCTGCAAGGGGAAATGTGGACAGTCAGAGAACAGGTACAGGGGTCAGCTGGGGATGGAGGAAAAAAGAGCTGAGGGGCATAAAAGGTGGAAACATAAAAGAGTTTGGAAGGTGATATAATTACTTTTTCCTTTTTCCACTTTTTTTTTTCTCTTGGCTCCTGCCCTTCACCTTCCTTCCAAAAGCTCGAAATAAAATGTCTCTACAATAAGCTTTCTTTACTCTGTACCCAGCCAAATATATATATATATAATTTGTGTATATAGAGATAGATATATAGTGTATATAGTATATACAAATATAAATATATAGTATATATAAATATATATTTACATATAGTATATATTATATATTTATATATAATATATAGTATATGTAATATATATGCTATATATAGAATATATATTTATATTTGCATATATACAAATATATAGTATATATAATATATAAAAATATATATTTATATAATATAGAATATATAGTATATATAGTATATACTATATATAAATATATATACTATATATAAATATATAAACAATATATATATTTATATTTATATATATATACAAGTTATATCTATCTATCTATCTATCTGGCATTTTAGCTTTGTCTTCCAATTATTCTGGTCTCCCAAAAAAAGGTAAATCAAAGGAAGAGGAGAATATGTCAGTCATTTAAAATCTTTGTATCAAAGTTTAACCATGAGAGTTTTGGACTGAATTTGTAACTCAGCAAATGTTTATTAAATGAGTACAATGTGCAAAATATTGTCTGCTTGCCAGGGAAACATTATATTACCCTCCTAGAGTTAGCATTCTAGTGAAAGAAGCATTCAATGAGTAAATTAATTAAAATGTTACATAATGTATTATTTGCCTTGGTTGTCAGGAAAGGCTTTGTTGGGAAGGTAAAAGTGGAGCAGGGACATTAATGAAGATGTGAGTAAGAGGAGAGAGTAAGGAACAGGGGAGCAGCAGTCCAGCAAGGGGGAACAGCAAGTGCAAACACCCTACTATGGGAACATGTTAGTGTGTTTGGCCAACAGCAAGGAGCATGCTATGGGAGATTTAAAGAAGCAAGTCAGTGCTGGATCATGTAGGGCCACACAAGGACTTTTAGGCCATAATGACTATGGAGAGTTATCTGATCATGATGAGAAATCACTGAGTATTTGAAAGCAGAGCATGACATATTTCTTGTAAAAGAATAATGAATATTTATATTGCATTTGTACATGCCAATCCCTGTTCCAAGTGTTTTACTTATATAATCTCATTTAATTTAAAAACAGCACTGTAATGTATATTATTGTCATTGTTATTCACATTTCTCAGAGAATAAAACTGTGAAAAAAAAAATTAAGTAACTTGATCATATTATGTTAACTTGAACCCAGGTAGTCTGGCTTCAGATTCCTTGACCTCAGTCACTAGCCTGTATTTATTTTATTTTCATTTATAAGGGTCTCTGAAGTAAGGGCAATAGACTCTTTGGGTAAGAGTTTAAGCAGGGACGCCAGTGAGGGGAGAGATGACAATGACTTGAACCATGGTGGTTGTGATGGAGAAGAGGAATAGTGTGGTTGGATTTTAGATGTGTTTTGAATGTAGAGGAAGCAGAAGGTTTGTGGATATAGTGTACACAGACAACGAGAGAGTGATAAGTCCAACTTTTTGACCTGAGCAACTGGGTAAAAGATAGTGTTTCTTACAAAGCTCTGGTTTGGTGTGGGGTAGAAATAGAGTTTGAATTTGAACATGTAAAATTTGAGGTGTATTTAGAACATCCAAGAAGGAGATATGAAGGAGGCAATATGGTATACAGAGTCTGTGATTTGGGCTGTAGATTCATATTTGCAAGTCATTATCATATTGATATTTTAGAAGGCTATGTGTCTGTCTGAGTTCCCCTGGGTAGATAATACAAACACTCCAAGGATTGAGCTCCAGGACACTGTAACCTTCAGAGATCATGAAGAGGTAGAGGATTCGATAAGAATCTGATAAGGAACAGCAGATGAAATACACAGAAAACAAAGAGTCAAGTATGAGAGAGTGTGAAAGAGCAAAAAATTAACTGTGTCTAATGCTGCTAATGTATTAACATATACAATGAAGACAGAGAATTGACCACCACATTTGGCAAAGTGAAGAACATTACAGGTACTGACTATGGAGTGGTAGAGACAAAAGTCTGAATGGATTGGGTTTAAGAGACTAGTAAACTCCTGATGCCTCTTATAACTATAGCAAGATAATTAAAAATAACCTTTAAAAAAAAAAGGTGAAGGATAAAAGCTGGGAGAAGAAGAGAATAATAACGCCTTTCCAAATACTTCAATCAATTGCAAAATACTTTATTGTGCGTCTTCTACACATCCAGCAGTATTAGTCACTAACATCAATGAATTTGTAGCTTCATTTATTCATTTAGGCAACTATTATTCATCAAGTGTTTAGTAGGTAATGAATATTTAGTGGATATAGCTTTAAAATATTTTTCTCAATTGTTAGAATAACTTTTTTTCATTTTTAATTATTATGGGTACATAATAGGTGTATATATGTATGGGTGACATGTGAGGTTTTGATACATGCATACAATGTGTAATTATCACATCAGGGTAATGACAACAGGGTATCCATCACCTTGACCATTTGTCATTTCTTTGAGGAACATTCCAATTTCACTCTTTTACTTATTTTTAAATGCATAATTAATTATTGTTGACTGTAGTCACTGTGTTGTGCTATCAAATACTAGGTCTTACTCATTCCAGTTAATTATATTTTTGCAACCGTTAACCATCCCCCCTCTCCCACAACTGCCTTGCCTCTGCTACTCTTCTCAGCCTCTGGTAACCGTCATTCTACTCTTATATCTCAGTTCAACTGTTTTAATGTTTAGCTCCCATGTATGAGTGAGAATTTGCAAAATTTGTCATTCTGTGCTTGGCCTATTTCACGTAAATGTAAAGAAAAAGAGATGTTCATATTTCCATAATCCTAACATATCAACATTTTTTTCACATTCCTTTCAATTGGTGTTCATCTCTCCACAACTTTTACTCAACCTTGTTATTTTGTAAGCCTTGTTCTTTGTAGACATATTTCCATAACACGATAGTTAAGACACAAATATTTTCTTCCGTGAGTAGACAGCATTAACTAATCATTTTCATTTCCAACCATTTATATTGTGTTCAAACGACAATATACTATGAATATTTGTCTGTATGATTATTCGTCTTAATGTTATCTTCCTTAAGCTATGAGTAGCCCTTCAATGTCCAGGACTACATCTGGTTCAATTTTGAATTACTAGCATCTGTTTGGCTTCTAGGTAGTACATGAGACTGTGTAGCGGCTGCGAGCGTGTACGTTGAGTGGCTCTAGTCTCATTTTGCATTCTCCACTTGTAGGCCTGTAGCCTTGGTCAAGTTATTTAAATTCCCTTTATCTCCTTTGTAAACTGGAGATGATAATAGCACCCTTTAGGTTGTATTGACAGTTACATGAGTTAATATACACAAAGTCCTTATGATTGTGCCTTTTTATTTTGTAAGCACTGTGTAAATGCTTAAGTGTTATATATATATATATATAGTCTGTGCCCAGAATATGTTTAAGGAACGAATAATAAATAAGAAAAAGTTTTATTGTTGCTTCTTACAGGTAACATTTGAAATTCTTTTGGATTGTTTTCTCTTTGGTTCAGTAACAATGTTGTGAGCAGGTGCTGGATCTCAGGTATCCAGAGATAAATACAAATTTTGAGCAATTAATTTTCACAAGTGATATCAAGAAGCAAAGTATCATAAACATTTCTATGGCTCCAATTACACTGATATTTCACGTTGGGGACTGAAGCTCCGCCAGGGCAGGGGCAGCCTCTGCGTTTTGTATTGCTGTGCATCTTTAGCGGCACGGGCATCTGATGGTTTCATTTCCTTCCCACTCACCTGCGCCCTGTTCTTATTTCGCATCTTTTGTCTCCTTTTCCTTAAATGCTTTCTCTGAATCTTGATTCTTGAAAATAAATTAGTAAGATTCCGTTAGGTAGCTATAGGAGGGGGAGAAAAGGAGAGGTGATGAGCAAGGTATGTGCGAAGACTCGTCAGTGTGGTAGGTGGCTTTGGTTAGGGAGTTTCAGAAATGGGGACAGGTCATGAAGGGCCTTGCCAGTCAGGAAAAATCATGATGGACTAGCAGTAGGAACACAGCAGAAAGTGCCTGAACAAGAAAGATGACTTAATGAAAGCCTTTATAATGCTTCTCGGGATATATTACAGACTACCATCTAGAGTGGCAGAGGGCAGCTGAAGGAATGCTCTTGCAAAAACTTGGGGAAATGGAAATGAATGAAGGCAAATATTTGTTTTGAGATTTTTTCCTTCATTGTAAACCTATTAGTTCTTTTACTCATTCACTATACATGCACTGAGTGCCTACTTTGTGCCAGGCACTGTGCTAGGCAATGGGTATAGTACCAGTGGACAATATAGATTTAGTCTTGCTGTCATGTCCTGCTGCTTGCTCATATGAATGTCAGTTCAAGACAGCAAGAGCTCAGGACTGCGGAGATCGCATACATCCTGTCGCGCTCTGTGCCGGCGGCACAGGGTGGTTGCGAAAATCGTGTAGTCTGAATCGATTCAAGGCCTTGCAGCATGATTGCTAAATACGTCGAGACAGGAAGAAAGGGCAGGGTGGCACCGATCTCAACTGCCAGAGCACGATCTTGCAATGAGCACATGTGTGCGCCTCGGTGTGTAGTGAGGGGCGTAGCTTCCCACAGCGCCTGGCAGCGTGCCAAGCTGCGCTGCAGGACTAACCAACCCTCTCCTTTCCCAGCGCGCTCAAGCCCGCACAGGCGGTGGCAGGGAGCCGAAGGGGCCGAGCGCAGCCTTGCATCCGTCCGCAGGCGGGCGCGGCGCAGCTCCTCCTCGCGGCGGGCGGGACCGTCCAGGACGCCGCCCAGCGGCCGCAGCTCCTGCAAGCCCAGAGCTCGGGTGGATCGCGAGCCAAGGCGGCGGGTGGAGCCTGAGCCGTGAGGCCGTGGCCAATCGCGCCGCTCCGGGGGAGGAGCCCCAAAGGGGGAAAAGAAAGTGCGGCGGAAAGTAAGAGGCTCACTGGGGAAGACTGCCGGAATCCAGGTCTCCGGGGTCCGCTTTGGCCGGAGGCGCGGAAAGAAGCAGTGCCCGGCGACACTGCACCCATCCCGGCTGCTTTTGCTGCGCCCGCTCAGCTTCCCAAGAAAGGTGAGTCTCGCGCCGCCGTGAGGGCTCAGAAGTCACCGAGCCGCAGAATCTCAGGGCAGATGGATTCTTAGAGATCGTATCGTTAAACCCTCCTACTTTACAGAGGAGGAAACTGAGGCACAGAACGAGGCAGCGGCTGGGATAGGTCATATTGCTAGTCAGGACTGTAGTCCGGATTCGAACCCAGACGTTCAGAGACCCATCTTTGCTTTGCAGGGATTTAAGTAACGCAGTTGTGGGACGCCTGCTCGTTGCCGCCCCCATCCTCAGCCCTTTGAGGGATCTACCCTTGTTTTCCTCCTCACCGCCCCCTCCCCGCTACCACCCCCCGCCCCCATCTCCGCCTTGGTTTCTCCAGACCGCTGCTGGAAGCTCTGAGGTTAGAAGGAAGCGGTGTGTCCCAGCATGCTCGCTCGGTATCACGTCGCTCTCAGTCCAGAGCTGTGACAGCCTGGGAAAATGCTGCTTGCAGCCTCACTCCCTCTTCCCCTGACCTGCTTTCTCAGAAAGATGCCCCTGCCCAGGGTGTCCTCCCAGCTTCTGGAGGAGCACTGGGAGGGAGGAGGGAGGCCCGGGCGCCAGTGACCTCCTATGGTACTGTTTCTTCCCAGCCCTGGAGGAAGCGGAGCTAGTGGCCCTATGGGGTACAGGGTGCTCCTCACTTGGGAAGAGCTGACTTCATGGAACCGTAGAGTCCCTTCCCTCTTCTAAATATTGGGAGGGAGCAAGGAAGCTGAGTTAAACAGAAAATCACAAACATAAAAGCAAACTTCTGCTGTTTCCTTTAAGAGCTAGCCCTCAGCCTGTCTTCCTTCTACCTTCTGGTTGTGAAATTGTGAACCAGGGCGCCACGCGAAGCATTTTGCTGCTCTGCTGTACAGATCCCTGGTTTAGCTACTGGATGGAAAGAGGACTTGGGTTTTGACTCTAGCTCTGCCATGTATTAGCTGTGTGAACCTGGGCAAGTTATCCTACCTTTCTGATATTGAGTTTTTCTTTTCTTTTTTTTCTTCCTTTCAGCCGCAAAATGGAGATTTATAATGGTCACAATGAACCCTTTGGGTAGTTGGGAGGATGAAATGGGATGATTCAAGTAGCATGTTTAGCACAGTGCCTGGCCTGGCATCTGGTTGCTTCAAAACTGATGGCAACTATTTTAAATATTGTTACATAGTAACCTTGCAGACAGTGGGTTTTCAGAAACCCACTGTGATTTAGTAGTGATTTCATACTACCTTAGAGAAGAGTTTAAAAAAAAAATCTGTAAATGTAGTGACTTTCTTCTTTTGAATTTGAGCAGCTCTTTTATGATAAGAATTTTCTGAATGTTGTCCATGTGTGATGTGGGTCATGGGTGCTTAGCTCGAAATGTAAAATTGATGTTTCTCGGTGATGTGAATTTCCTACTAGTTTTTAGGTCAAACATCAGCCCTGATCTGAGACATCCTTTATTGACAAAGAGGGTCTTGAAATGGATGAGAGGCAGAAAGACGAGAAGAGAAAGTTGGAAGTTGCAGCTATGTTACAGATTGTTCTAAGCCTTGTATCCTTGCTCTCTTAGGTCAGCCGAACAACCTTACATTTTTCATCTAGTATCAGAAAACAACTGAATTCTCTTGTATTTCTTTTGAATTGTACAGAGATGCTGCTAAATGCAGACCCTTCTGGACAGAAACTTGCCTTACTTAAACAGGAACACACAGACATTTGCATGCCCACACTAGTCTTCCTGTATTATTGGTATTTTACAATTAAATGGATTCCCTCCTCCACCCTTACCCTACTCGTGACAATTGATTTTATTCTGATGGACTTCATGCAATGATTTACTACTATCTACTGGCTTTGCCATGACTCCTTAAATTGAGTGTCCAGCATTTGTAGTTGGCTGCCTCCTTCACAGTCCATAGCATTTGTATGCAGTATTGATAAGTGCTTGAGAACGGGGTGTGATACATCTTGATGGAAGATAAGAGCCCAGTGGTGCCCACTTAGGTACTTCCCGCACCAAGCATTAGTAAAGGATGGGATCACCTGCTTCCATCAGCTTGTTCCGTGTACATGCATTGGGGTGAGCTGGCTGGGATACATCTGAATGTGTGCCTGAGAGACAGGGGCCTTGTGGGGGAAAAGGAAAATGTTCAAAATAAGGTCAGATCATGAGGATGGAAGGGAAATTAAAAGCTAATCCCCTTGGTTCTGATTCTTCAAAGAAAGGTTGGTCAGTTATACCCATATCTTTATATAGATTATTTCTTGTTACCGAAACCATATATATGTGTAGAACTTTAAAATTTCCAAAGTGCATTCTGCATATGTGATACTCCTTGTTACTCTCAATAGCCCTGGGAGGACATGGAAAGAATATTAATAGAGGAAGGAGCCCAGGTTTTGTGGTCAGACCTACTTGATTTCAAATTCCAGCCCTCATGCCTGAGTAGTTGGGTGATATTGAGCAGTTTATTTAATCATTTAAAGTTTCTGTTTTATCCAGTTCTAAAATGGAAAGAAAATGCTTAGCTTAAAAATCTGTATAAAGAATAAATGCAATAGAATAGTGTCAAGTACATGTAGTGAATAGGTGCTCATTAAATGATATCTCTTCTTAGCTAGTCTCAATTTATTGAGAACATATCTGGAATGAGACTCAGAGAAATGAAAAGTTGCTAGAGGTCATGTGTTAATATGTTTTAACTCTGGGAATACAGTTCACACCTTTTCATATCTAGTTTAGGGCATTTCCCATCACACTCTGTTTCCTCGCCAATGAGATATTAACAATTTACTTCAGTTATAAAGTTGACCTTATTTGTCTGGTTATTTCAGGATATCATTTTTGTTGAAAAGTGGGTATTTCCTCGCTAAGAGAACAATCCTTAAGCACAGTTCTGTAGAGTTTCGTGGGGCCGACTATCATAAAAGGGTATTTAAAGCAATGGTCTCTAAGACAACCTTCCTACTCTCCTGTGTTTGATGTAATACACCTTTGATTCCTAAGAGAAAGGGTACTAACTAAGAAGACAAAGTACAGAATTATGTCGCTCTTTTCTTCCTGTTGTGAGTGGTTTCTTCCCTCTGCCATCCTCATGCTAGTTCAAAGGCTGGGAAGAGGATTGAACAATGAATGTCATGAGTGTCCATAGCATTATTCAACTTTTTTTTTTTTGACAATTTTGTGGGTACTGAGTAGAGCAAACAGAACAGTGTGCAAAGGTGGCATTTGCAGAAAGAGACCACTGCTTCCTGGTGGTGCTGATGGCTTGTTGGAGTTTCATTCCTCCTTGTGGAAAGTGATGGCTGCAGGCTCATGTAGGAAGATGAAGGGATCTGTTTCTGGCCCAAGCAGTGGGGCTATTCATCTACTGAGACTTCTTGTAGGCTGTTAGATCCCTCCTCTTTGTAGCAAGCACACAGGCTTGCAAACGCAGTTGTAGAAGAAACTTTTTGCTCTTTGCTTTTGGCATTTTGGAGCATATGTTTGCTCCCATAGGTAAGCAGTTAACATCATCTTACCTGGCACAGTTAGGAAAGCAGAATGTGGCTTGAGGAAATCAGAGGACGTAGAAAAAAACAAAGATTATCTCCAGCCTATACACAGCTTCATTTGTTGATCAACTTCATCAGGCTTTTGCTGGTGACACAGATGTAGGATCTGGTGAGTCACCATTGCCTTACCCATGAAATATTAAAGAGAGCCACCTACTGTGCTCTTTGCCCATTTTGGAAATTGTTCTGTGTAGAAAAAAAAAAGAAGAAGAAGAAAAGAAAAAAGAAGAAACACCAAAGAACGGGAAGGTTACAGAACATTTGGTAAGTGATATTTTGGTGGATAAATTCAGGTTAGCCATTCATTTGCTGCCTTTTTTTTTTTTTTTTTTTAAACTAGAATGGATGGTTTACACTGATAGGGTTGTTAGGAGACATCCCTTTGGTCTGACTTTATTCTAACTCTCTCTAGCAGCTGTGGTAGTGTGGATTTTGAGAGTCTGGCTGAAATCTGAGGCAAGTTATTCTATGATGATCTTTTGGCTCTGCAGCTAGGAAATAGGGACACTGATGCCTGCTTAGAAGCTTAACTCCCTATTTATTTCAGCATCTTATTCATAGAAAACATTTAATAAACACGATTCTGTCTTCTGCCAATAACTCCCTCAATGTATTAGTCTGTTAAATTATGATCATCAAAATTTAACAGCCACTCTTTACTTGTCTCCATGATTATTTGTGCTGAGTGTCTTAAATATATCATCTCATTCAATCCTCACAATAATCCTGTGTATTTTTTTTTTAGGAAACTGGGGCTTATAGAGTTACGTAGCATGGCCTATGTATTAGTCTGCATTCATGCTGCTGATAAAGATATACCCAAGACTGGGCAATTTGTAAAAGAAAGAGGTTCACTGGCCTTATAGTTCCACATGGCTGGGGAGGCCTGACAATCATGGCGGAAGGCAAGGAGGAGCAAGTCACATCTTACGTGGATGGTAGCAGGCCAAAAAAGAGAACTTGTGCAGAGGAACTCTTGTTTTTAAAACCATCCGATCTTGTGAGAACCATTCACTATCACGAGAATAGCACAGGACAGACCTACCCCACATGATTCAATCATCTTCCACTGGGTCCCTCCCACACCATGTGGGACTTAAGGGAGCTACAAGATGAGATTTGGGTGGGGACACAGACCCAAACCATATCAGCCTATGTAACAGCACAAAGCAAGACGTGATGCTGAGACTCATCTATGCATTTTGTTCTAGAGTTAGGAAAAACTTCCAGTTGTCCCACCTCTGGACTAGAACTGAAGACTTAGACTAAAACGAATGACCTATCCAACCACCATCCTACATCCTCATCCTGGTACTACCTTGCCTGTGACTGAGAAATATCTTTACCTTTGGACCTAAAATGTGGGAGAGCTCAACTCGATGATCTCTAAATTTCTTTTGCTATAATGCATTGTGTATCTTTAAGATTCCTTTCAACTTTGAGATTCTGTAATCACATCTATTTGCAAAAGTTAAAGCTAAAATGGAGAAAGGGGAGTAAAAAGAAAATGCTCTTATTGTTTTATTCCCTGGAGATGTATTTTTCTGAACAAAGATGGTCAAAAGAAGTCAGCATTTCATCAGCACATGTATTTTTGTGATTTCATTTAAACACAAAAATAACTCTCAGATATATATTATTATTTGCCTTTTACAAATGAAAGAACTGAGGCTCAGAGAGACTTACAGACTTGCCCAACCTTTCCCAGTTAGTAAAGATTGGAACCTGTGTGTGCCTGAGTGCAAATCCTTTTGGTCCACTACAGCATATTTACTAGATACCACACCATGAAATCTGGGAACTCATATAACCAGATTTGTGAATGCCCCCTCTCTGTATTCTCACACCACACTACCTCAGCTTCTGTCTTCTCCTCTTCTTTTACTCTTTCCTTTCCAAACATACTGCTCCAATCCTTTCTTGATTTTCTCCAGCTCACAAAACCCCTTTAAATGCATATAACATCTTCTATCTCTATTGTGATTTTTTTTTTTTAACTGTGGTCCAGGAATTTGTAATTTGTGCCTTTGTTTTTGTTCATCTCCATTGGGCACAGGGCAGAATAAGCCATGCCATCAGCTGAGAGACTTACAAATGTCTCTATCTATCTAATCTGTGTGTCAGTCATCTTTCTATCTAGCTCTATTTATTAGTGAAATTAAAGAAAGATAAAGCATTTTAAGCCCCTAGCTCTTACTAGCTGGCACCTAGAAGGGACTTGGTAAATGTTCATTCCTTCCTCATCATCCAGCACTGCTGTTTACCCAAATCATTACTCATTTAATGAATCTCAGATGGAGAGGGGGAGTATGTTGAGTAGATGCCCCAGCTGGTCGAAGAGAATGTGCCACAGTTTGGCAAACAGTTGGGATGGTAAAGGATAGGAAATGAATGTGATATTTACCTTAAAATATCAGCTGAGAATATGGTTTATTCTGCCCTGTGCCTAGCATAGTAACTCATATGTAAAAAGGGCAAAATTGAATGATATGATGGGTTCATATTATGTCAGTAGGTCCAAAGTTGACTTTCTGGATTTCTCATGCTTTATCAATAATATTAATTATGTCGAAGTTTGCCTCTACAGACTAGTAGTTTTAATTTCATTTAATTTTGTGGTCACAAAATCAGACAATGATAAGGAGTCGTAGGCTCCAAGAAGGTTAGACATTACTAGCTCAATGATGGGAAAACCCGTTTCTGTCCCAATCATAAAGGGCATTTTGCAGAAAACACAGTGAAGGATGATGCTGAAGTGCATTTCTGCATATATTGACAGCAAGACTCGTGTCAAGTGTCATACATAAATTGCCAGAGAGAAAGTAGGAAGTTTCCATTGAAGTGGGCAGCTGCAACGAGCTTCGATCTCAAGATTTCTAAAAGCATTGAAGAATTTACATCAGTTCAACTATTATTTGATATAATTGGCATCAGTTGAACATAAGAACAGGTAACCTTTTATGTCTAGTTTATATCCAGCAGATGCTTGTGATTTCTACCTTTCTGGCATAAAAGTCCTCATGATTACACTGGCTTCCTCCTCTGCCAATCAATGCTGATGGCAACAGAAACGAGAAGCAGTCATTTTATAAGCATTATGTCTGGAAATGTTCCTTTCGTTGATAGCAGTTTATTAATGCCAGTATGGTTAGATGCTCTGGCAACTTAAAATTGTGTTTGCTTAATATAGTGGACATTGACGTCAGACTTACCTGTCTGGGTTTGACTTTGGCCGAATTATTTGGTCTCTCTTTGCCTTATTTTTATGATCTGTAAAAATGGGGATAATAAAACCCATCTTGTCAGGCTTTTGGTAAGTGTCAATCATATGCCATGACATTTGTTAACAGCCTTGTGCATAGGGATTTTAACCTCTATTACAATTAACAACAGCAATGAGAATGGTTCCATTGCATGCCCAGATGGATACTAAGTTAGAAAAAGAAAGGACCAGGTTTAAATAATACAGTTTTTGTTTATATAGAACTTTAAGTCTTCAACATGCTTGTTATTGTATATACAAATGTATACACATATAACATTTTGCTTTTTACAATAATTCTGAGGTAATCAGGGCAGGTGTTGCTAACGTTTTACATCCTGGGTCTCAAAGGGGCTACATATTTACTATGGCCAAGCAGCTAGTAAATAGCAGACCCAGGACTTGGACCTTAGTTTTCTAATTCCAGGATTATATATATTTTTTTCCTCAATCAACCGTGGTCCTGGTTAGTTGCTTTTCCTTCTCCAGACTCCTTGCTTTCACCCTGAAAATGAGGAATTTGGAAAATATTATGTCTAAGGTAGACTGTTTTATAAATCTCTCACTGTAGAACAATGTCTTAGGTGGTATCTCATTGGCCTTAGTGAGAATTACAACTGAGTACTGCACTGAGAGTCAGTTCCATAAAGACCCCTTTATGTCCTTAAGGATATGATTCTACCACATTACTCTGACCTACAGACCATTCCCCGTCTGCCCCATCCCCTTCAGGACCCAGGTTTGGGGATGGGAAGAAAAAGTAGATGACTCGGTTAGGCACATGGGCATTTAATATTTGGGAAATGAAAATAGAACCTTTCTTTAAAAAAAAAAAAGCAAGTTTTGTATCACCATTAATCTCCATAGTTTTCTACAACAAAATAAAGGATAAAATGTTTTGCTTTAATTTGGATTCTAGCATTATGAGTACACATTTTCTGCTTTCTTCTTTTGAGCTTTTAGTGCCCACAGAAGAAGCTTCACTCTCATTAAAATGTGAGTTCTTTCTGTTTATAGAAATGATGGAGACTTGAGAATGGTAATACACACTAAATAGCACTTTTCTGGAAGATTATACTTCAGTTTCCCAATTACAGAGTGAGACAGTGGTGGGGGCAGCAGATTGAATGGAGAGAGTAGATAGTAAGAAGTAGGCTGGCTTCAGAATCAGGGCTGGGTTTGAATTCTAGATACTGCATGCTTAGCCTGTCCAGACTTAGTTTTCTCACTGTAAAATGGTAATAAACATGTCCTTCCTTCCTTCCTTCCTTCCTTCCTTCCTTCCTTCCTTCCTTCCTTCCTTCCTTCCTTCCTTGCTTCCTTCCTTCCTCCCTCCCTCCCTCCCTTCCTCCATTCTTCTTCTTTTCTCTTCCTTCCTTCCTATTATCTATCTCTCTCTCTCTCTCTCTCTCTCTCTCTCTCTCTCTCTCTCTCTCTCTCTCTCTCTCTATTTATCAGTAAGGTTCAAGTACGATAAAATATATTAAGTCCCTAGCTCTTAATAGCTGGCACCTAGAAGGCACTCAGTAAATATTCGTTCCTTCCTCTTCTTTCAGCGCTGCTGTTTACCCAAAGCCTCTCTCATTTGATGAATCTCAGATGGAGAGGGGGAGTATATCAAGTAGATGCCCCAGCTGGTCTAAGAGAATGTGCCACAATTTGGCAAACAATTGGGATGGCAAAGGATAGGAAATGAATGTAATATTTACCTTAAAATATCTCAGAATCTTTCATGTGTGGGAGGAATTAGACCAGTGATAAATTGCAGTGCATGGATCCTTTACATCAGAATCATGTGGATAGCTTCTGAAATCAGCGGATATCTAGGATTTCTGCACTGAAATCTAAGAATCACTGGATTAGAATTTTCAATACTGAGAGGCAGGATATTGTGGGGGTTTGAATTTGGGTTCAAATTCTGCTCCCTCAGTGTAAACCTAATGAAGTTATTTAACGTTTCTATGTTATTCATTGAGTTGTGGGGAGAAGTAATTTAATATATATGAAATGCCTAAAATACAGTTTTACTGTAGAAGTCAGTCTTTGAAATACCTTTCATGACTTTGTTTAACTTGTATTTTATTTCTTCTCTGACTGAATGTCCTAGATAGCGACATGGCTAACTCTTTCATTTGCTTAAAGTCTTTGTTCACTATCTTCTCAGGGAAGGCTACTTGGATTGCTTGAATTTGCATGGTTTGGGGTAGGGGAAGCAAGAATAGGGCTGCTTGCTCTCTGAAATCCTGATCTCTCTTACCATACTTTTGTTTTTCCTTTATTCTGTGGCATTTGTTACCTTCTGAGCGTACACATACTATTTCATTATTTAGTCGATTTTTAAAATTTAACTTTTATTTTAAGTTCAGGGGTACATGTGCAGGTTTGTTACATAGGTAACCGTGTACCGTGGGGATTTGTTGTACAGATTATTTCATCGCCCAGGTATTAAGCCCAGTACCTGTTAGTAATTTTTCCTGATTCTCTCCCTCCTCCCACCTACCACCCTCCAGTGGGCCCCAGTGGGTGTTGTTTTCCTTTATGTGTTCATGTGTTCTCATTTAGCGCCCAATTCTAAGTGAGAACATGCAGGATTAGGTTTTCTGTTCCCGTGTTAGTTTGCTAAGGATAATGGTCTCTGGCTCTCTCCAGGTTTCTATAAAGGACATAATCTCATTCCTTTTTGTGGCTACATAGTATTCCATGGTGTGTATGTACCATATTTTCTTTATCCAGTCTACCACTGACGGACATTTAGGTTGATTCCATGTCTTTGCTATTGTGAATAGTGCTCAGTGAACATACACATGCATGTGTCTTTATAATAGAATAATTTATATTCCTTTGGGTGTATACCCAGTAATGAGATTGCTAGGTTGAGCGGTATTTCTCTTTTTAGTTCTCTGAGGAATTGTCACATTGTCTTCCACAATGGTTGAACTAATTTGCACTCCCACCAATAGTGATCCTTTTTCTCTGCAACCTGGCCAGCATCTGTTATTTTTTGCTTTTTAATAGTAGCCATTCTGACTGGTGTGTGATGGTATCTCATTGTAGTTTTGATTTGCATTTCTCTAATGATTAGTGATGTTGGGCTTTTATTCATATGCTTGCTGGTTTCATGTATGTCTTTTGAAAAGCATCTGTTCATGTCCTTTGCCCATTTTTTTTTTAAATGGGTTGTTTTTTCTTGTAAATTTGTTTAAGTTCCTTTTAGATGCTGGATATTAGACCTTTGTCAGATGCATAGTTTGCAAAATTTTTCTCCCATTCTGTAGGTTTTCTGTTTGCTCTGTTGATCATTTCTTTTGTTGTGCACAAGCTCTTTAATTAGATCTCATTTGTCAGTATTTGCTTTTGTTGCAACTGCTTTTGGTGTCTTTATTATGAAAAATCTCTGCCCATTCCTCTGTCCAGAATGGCATTGCCTAGGTTGTCTTCCAGGGTTTTAAATCTTTAATCTGTCTTGAGTTAATTTTTATATATGGTGTAAGGAAGGGGTTCGATTTCAATCTTCTTCATGTGGCTAGCCAGTTACCCCAGCATTATTTATTGCATAGGCAATCCTTTCCTCATTTCTTATTTTTTATTTCACCTCCAATAGATTATAAAGTCCACAAGGACAGGGACACTTGATTTGCTCATTGCTGTATCCCAAGTGCCTAGAATAGTTTCTAGCAAAAGCAAATGGCCAATAAGGAGGCAAAGATAAATAAAGAAGTGTATGGATAGATGTTAGTGTGATTGTTTGTCCTCAAGAACTAGAAAGAAATAGAACTGGATAAGACAGTAAATTATACATGTAATATTGAAATAAAATTTGACATAAATATATGCTCAGATACACACACATATATACGCACACACACATATACGTATGTATATGTACGTGTGTAAGTATGTATATTTGAAGTATTGAGTATATATTTTGAAGTAATAATTTATGTCTATGTACATATATATGGATGTGTACGTGTATATATGTGTATGTAGAAATGAGTATAAGTATATATTTATCTGTATATTTAGGAGGTTTTCAAAGCTACCTGAGGAAACAGAGGTGTTGAAGTGTTTACTTGTTAGGTTGCTACAGCGATAGGGAGAAAGACGAAAATATGTACATATGAGTAAAGAGACAACAGACATACAAGAAATGAAAGGCTAAGATTACAACAGCAGCCAACATTGGAGGGACGTAGAAGAGGGATAGTTTTTGAGTAGAGTAGTCAGAGAAGCGATCTCCAAGAAACTGACATTTGAACTAAGCAAAAGCCTGAGAAAGATCCAGGATAGGCCTGAGGTCGTCACTGAGGTCGTGGGCCAAGTAAGAGGCAGTGAAGAGCTGGAAATAAGGTTCTAAGATAGGCAGGGGCTAGGTCAGACTGGTCTTGCAGGCTATGGTGAGGAGTCAGGATTTTACACAAAGTGTAGCAGGAAGTCACTAAAAAGACAGAAGCAGGATGATGACCAGGTCAAAGATATTTAGAGCCTTGAAAAGAGAGTGAGGGAAAATGGAAGACCTTATTTATAAGATGAGAAGACCAACTGCTCTGATTTCATCCTGTAGGCTGTTATGAACAGATGAGAAAGACAATTTGGTTTCATTGATGTTTTATTCGTAGCCTCTCGTTCCCATTAGAACATTTCAAAGGGGAAAACAAAAACCCAGCTAAAATAGGGAAAACCTGTAT